GGGCCTGGAGCGGCTGGTGCTCGCGCTGTGCACGCCCGGCTACAATGCCCGTGCGCCCCTTCATTACCTGGGGCCACTGCTCTCCAACCTCAGCCAGCGTCCCGCGGCGCGCGCCTTCCTGCTGGACCCCGACAGGTGAAGTCCAGGATGCCCACGGGGAGGGGGTGGAAGTGAGCAGGGACAGCACTGAGTGGGCCCTCCCTTCAGGTGCGTGGTCCAGCGGCTGCTGCCGCTTACCCAGTACCCAGACTCCACGGTGCGCAGGGGCGGAGTGGTGGGGACGCTGCGAAACTGCTGCTTTGAGCACCGTGAGTGGTAGTGGGGGCCGTTGCGGTGGGGGGCAATAGGGGGAGAGACTGGACTCGAGCCCCTCTTGACTGGCCGCCATTTCTGTTTCCCCACCCACCCAGGACACCACGAGTGGCTGTTGGGACCCAAGGTAGACATTCTCCCCTTCTTGCTGCTGCCCCTGGCTGGGCCTGAGGACTTCTCTGAGGAGGAGATGGAGCGTGAGTGGCTTGGATGGCGCCTCAGGGCTGGCCGGGCAGGAGGAGAGTCCAGTAGTGGGAGGCAGGGAAGTGTCCAGACCAGGGCTCCTCCTGAAACCTTCTAGCAGGAAGTTGGTGAGCATAGGTGGGGCTTACAAAGGCAGGGTCTGTCCTAGTGTGGGAACCTAGCAACTCCTACATTCATTTGCCCCTAGGGCTGCCCGTGGACTTGCAGTACCTGCCGCCAGACAAGCAGCGGGAGCCAGACGCTGACATCCGCAAGATGCTCATTGAGGCCATCATGCTGGTGAGCGGGGGTCCTGTTGCACTAATCCCACCCCAACACATAACACGGCCATACTGACTCTGGCTAACATCTGCCCCGTCCCAGCTGACAGCCACGGCACCTGGTCGGCAGCAGGTGAGGGACCAGGGAGCCTACCTGATCCTGCGTGAGCTGCACAGTTGGGAGCCAGAGCCCCACGTACGGGTGACTTGTGAGAAACTCATCCAGGTGGGTGCAGAGTTTGGCAGGGGCAGGGTGAGTCTGGGAGCGGGGTGGGGGTTGGTGTGCAGGGGGAGGCGGGGGGAGCTATCCATGATGTGCCAGCCAGCTGCTCTGCTCACCTGCCTCCCCTGCTGGCAGGTGCTTATTGGGGATGAGCCGGAGCATGGCATGGAAAACCTGCTGGAGGTGCAGGTGCCTGAGGATGTGGAGCGGCAGCTGCAGCAGCTGGACTGCCAGGAGCAGGAGCAGTGCGAGCGAGAGCAGCAGGAGTGGGAGCTGGCCCCAGAGCCAAAAGCAGAGGGAGCTGCACCTACCTGAGGCCCCGCAGCCCGCTACCAGCTCTGGGCCTTCTTTCACTAGCCCATCAGCCCTGGCTTCCCAGACCAGGCCTTCCCGCAGCTGTCAGCCTCTGGGTCCCCTTGCTCGGAGGCCGTGCCCTGCTGAGGAGAGCTTCGCTTAACTCCATGCTGAGGGCTCTAGGGCACCTGCCCCACACACATTGGAGGGTTGAGGGTACCTGCCTATGTCCTGTTGCTTCCAGCAAGAATGCAGCTTGCTCCCATGGCTTGGCTCTCCGGTACCTCCAGGGAGGTGGCCAGTGGAGCCAGGGCCCCCTCCCAGCCATGGCAGTCATGGTGTTGGGGCCAGACCGAAACATACTGCAAACCCGAGAGACCAGCTAGAGCTTCCCAGTTCCAGGGGTGCTACAGGGTCTGGGCCTAGGTGGGCAGCCAGGTGCAAGCAGTGTCCCTTGCCGCCATTCCCACCCAGGCCCCTTCATCCTGGCCCTCAGCTTGTCCTGTCTGACCGCCAGCCTCAGTGCGCTTTCTTGACTTTCAGCAGCTATAGCCTGTCCTGGGGTCTCCTCGGGCTGTACCCCCCGGCTGTCCTTGGAGCATTTGCTGGGTGCTGCCCCTCCTCCATCCTCTCCACCTTCCCTCGACCTGTGCCCTGGCTCTGCCCTCAGCGCCTTGCCAGCTCAAGTCCAGACTGACCCGATGGCCCTGTTCTCCCCGTCGGCAAGGCCCGCCCCCTCGTCAGCCTCTGTGGGTCACTGCACAGAGCTGCTCTGTCGTGCCTGCAGTCTTGCCCTTGGCCCAGGCCCTTGCCCTAACCACCCCATGGGCCCAGGAACCTGGTTCTCCCCTGGCTCCCTGTGTGGTTCCCCCAGTTCTGCAGCTGCCAAGCCAAGTTCCACAGGCTTTCAGTGTACCCCTCAACACACTGTGTTCCCTCCCTGGACCCCCCCCACCGAACTTGTACCATCTTTGCACAGGACCTGAACGTGAACCCTCCCAGGGCTTTTGTGCCACAGTGCAGCTTGGTCCCCAGGGGTTCCCAGCACCCCCAGTCCTCATGCCTCCAGTCCTGGTGCTGCCTCCAGAGCCCCATTAAAACTTCACTTGCGGATGTGGGGACTCAGCGCCCCAAGGCCAGCCGCCTTCTTCCGGCACAGATGACACACTCCCATCTCCACAGAATAAACGTTTTTCTGGCCTCGCCTGTGTCCCCCACCCACCCTCATTTGACCAGGTAGTGCCCCAGCACACTCCTGATGGCAGACATGGGGCACAGTGGTTGTGGCTGCCTGCAGGCACCCACACTCCCGCTGGCCGTGTTTCTGCCCTGGAGTCCCAGCCCGGCAGATCTTAGACCTCACCTAAGGCAGGCCTCCCAGGGCTTGGTCCCCAGGCAAGAGGTGCTTTCAGAAGTGCCCTGCTGCTGGGGGTGACGTGGCTGCAGGAGGGGCCTTGGGGACTTTGAGTCCTCGCTGGGTTCTGCGTCCGGGGGCGGTGGGAGCCAGGACTCTGCCAGCTTCCTGGCTACAGACCACAGTGGTGGGGTCAGGCTGGGCGCTGAAGGGCAGCCCACCTGGCGGGGCGCTGAGCGCTGAGCAGAAAAGCTCCTGTTTGGCCCGTAGCATCCAGCAATGTGCAGCCACCTGCTGCAGGCCCAGGCCCTCGTACACACAGTTGCAGCTGGAGCAGGCCTCGCATGAGGTCCCAGCACTTGTGGGCAAGGGCTCACGGCTGCGGCCTCCCACCCCACCCCTGGCACCCTCTCTCATCCTCAGCCCGCGCCCATCCCTGCCAACTATGCTGGTATCTTGGCATAGGCAAGAGGTCATCCACATGTCATTGACAGAGAGACAGGCACAAAGAGCCGAGGTGGTTTGCCCGGCAGAGCTCGGCTTCCAGCTGAGCCGAGCCACCCCTGAGCAGAGTCTGAGTCAGGCTCTCCCCACTTCACACGGGGGTGGGGGGACCGTCAGGTCAGTCCCCCTTGGCCTCTCTGTCCCCTGCACAGGATGACCCTTCTGATCCTGGTCTCCTGCTGTCCAGCCCTAGGCCCGTCCAGTCCCAGGCCCGAACTGGGATTGGGGAAGGACACGGTGGCAGTGCTCCTTGAAGGGCAGCTTCCCGGTCACCATGGTGTAGAGGATGACGCCCCTGCGAGCACGGGCTCCTCAGGACGTGTCCCCATCCCTGGTCCTGGCCCGGTGGGGTGCTGGGGTTGGGGCGGCACTCAGGCTCCACAGGTTGGCCTGTTCCCCGCTGTACTTCCTGTTCACGAGGATCTGGGGTGCTGTGTAGGCCATGGAGCTGCAGAAGGTGCTCAGCAGCCAACCTTGAGTACCGACTGGATGGCGAAACCAAAGTCTACGGGGAGGGGCAAGGGGAAGGTGTGTGGATATGGTGCACCCCACCCGTGGACTGGTGTGAGGGGCAGGTGGGACCCATGGCTGTGCGGCTGCAGGAGGCCTGGGGGTGATGCAGTGTGGCCATGGACGCGGGCAGATGGGGGCCTCCCAGGAGGATTGAAGGTCGAGCCGGGCTGGGGTCTAGTCTGGAGCAGAACAGTATAGAGGCTGGGGGCCTGTCTGGGACAAGAGTGACACCTGGGCCCCCTGCAGAAGTAAATGGCTGCAGTGGGTCTGGGCCACAGGCTCACCTGTCAGCTTTAGGAAGCCTTGGTCACCCAGCTGGATGTTCTCACACTTCAGGTCCCTATGTGCAGTGCAGAAGGGTAGGTGGGTTTGCACCTGGGCTCTGGTGAGCCCCTCCATGCAGGTGGGTGGGCGGGCTGGGTGGCACCTCACCTGTGCATGATCCCCAAGTTGTGGCAGTGGGCCACGGCACCGAGCAGCTGCCAGGACAGCCTGTGGGCCTCCGCCTCCTCCAGCTCCGGCGGCCAGAGGCCATATTGATGTTCTCCAGCAGGTCGCTGCGGCCGCCCAGCTCCAGCACCAAGTAGGAGCGCTGGCTGTTGTAGGTCTCGTACACCTGCACCTGCAAGGCCCCCACCTGCTGTCACTCCAAGTGGGGGCTGTCCAGTGCACTGGGTGGGGGTCTCAGGATGCTGTTGCTCCCTCCCCGAGCATAAGGATCCCAGGCAGGGAACGGGACAGGCCTGGGGCGGGCCGCAGGCTGGCCAGGATGGAGAGGGTGATCTAGGGGTCTCTGCCCACCACGTTCAGGTGCTTGTAGGTAGCGCTGAGTGACGAGATCTCCCGTGGCAGGAACTTGCGGGAGAACTCCACAGGGGCCTCAGCCATGGAGACAATCTTGATAGCCACCTGTGAGTGTGGACAGGAGCCACATGTGGAGACCACGGGCTGTTGGGGCAGGATGTGGCAGCACAAGGCTGAACTTGGCAGGGTGAGGCTGGGTAAATAGCATCCTGGGGGGCAGCGCTGACTTTTCCTTGAACTCAGCGGTTCAAGAACTGGGAGTGGTCAGCCTGCGGAACCCGGGCCTCAGGGAGTAGGGACTGGGAGGAGGCGCAGCCGCCGGAAGAGCCCGAGCAGGGCTCGGATGGGGGCGGGGGACCTGGGTGGCCAGGAGGGGGCTGCCTGCCTCACCATGGCATGGTGCTTGCCCCGCAGGTTGGAGACCAGCTTGAGGTTGTGCTTCATGCGCTTGCGCGTGGCAAGGGGCAGGTAGACTTTAGAGAAGGCCCCAGAGCCTATCTTCTTGGAGGAGAGCAGGTAGCCCTTGTGTCTGCACTCGCGCACCTGCTCCAGGAAGGCTGGCAGGTCCAGCTGCCGCCTGCTACTACCCTTCCTGGAGGGCAGGGTGCCGCGGGAGGGGCCGGTTTGGTCCAGCTTACCACGGGGCCTTGGGGATGGGGTGGGGAACAGAACTGAGGCCTGACTGTGTCACAGGGGCAGAGGTGACAAGGCTGGAGACCAGGCGGGACCTGCGCCCCTTCACGGCTGCAGCCAAGTTTCTGGAGTCTTGCTGGGACTGGAGCAGAGGCAGGGGAATGACCAGGGCTGCGAGCTCTGGATGGGGTGGGGGCCGACACAGCCAGGGACTGGAGCAGGGAAGGGCAGGTTCTAGAACGCAGCGTTCTGGAGCGCCCGCATTGTGCCCTCGCAGGGAATGTCCTGTTTCTGGTACTCGCCTGCCCTGAGAACATCCTGCTGGAACCAGCCCTGTCCTGTGTGGGGCTCACTCTCTGTGGGGCTCAAACCTCCAAGGGCCTCTGTGGGTCACCCTGGATGTCTGGCCACAAAAGGCATTTAAAGAAGCTGGGTGCGGGGGAGGAGTGAGCAAAGCATCTCTAAGGACATAAGGGAAAAGGAAAGACAATGTGTCAGCATTCTTTTCGGCTGCACCCTCATCCTTTGGGAAGGTCCCAAGCTGGCTGCCAGGTGGTCTGCAATAGAAACTGAGCCAGAAGGGCATGGGTGGGAGGAGACACCTGGCTTTCCTCTGCTGAGGCCTAGAAGTATATCTTGCTCAAGCCTTTCCCCCAGAGCTCTCTGCAGACTTGATGACACACCCGCAGGGCAAGCGAGGCCCCCGGCCTGAGCCACCTTGAACCCTCCAACTCCAGGAGAGAGCAGCCAAAATGGCCCTGCTCTCTTGTGGCCCCGAGAGAGTCTCCTTTGAGCGCTGTGACCATGGGGAGCAGCGGGTAACCTTGACTGAGAGTCTGCTGCGTGCCGGGGCTGTCCAAAGCCATTCTGGTGACTGTAGCTGTCATCTCCCTGCATGACAAGCCTGGCCCAGGCAGGCAGTGCACATCCAGGATCTCAAATTGAAGCACAACCAGGCGATGCCCATCGTGGAGTGACATGACTGAGGCCCAACTATGTGGTCTCTCTGCCGTGAGCTGGACAGCACAGTGGCTGTGGGCTGCCATCCTGGGAGTGTCCCCTGGGGCCTGGGTCGTGCTGGAGGCTTGATGTCTGGGAACTTGACTTGTCTCCCACTGGGACTCATGGTGAGCGTGGTGAGCCCGCCACAGTGAAGGCTTTGGGATGCTCTGACTGGAACAGATAAGACTCATTTTCACATCCCTGTTGGACCATGAGCTGCTTGAAAGCAAGGCCTGCGTTTGCCATTCCCTTGCTCACCCACAGCCCTTGTCTGGTAAACTATCTGGAGCAGTGAGCAAAGCATCTCTAAGGACATAAGAGAAAAGGAAAGACGAAATGTACCAGCAACCATTGCTTGGGAAGTGGGAAATGGGGACAAGCTCACTGGTTTGTTGCTGACTTGGGGGTTACGAAAAGAGCAACCGGACCAGGTGTTTCAAGCAGAGGGGCTATAAGTAGGTTGTCACTCGGGGGCCGGAGAGGCTGGAGGAGCAGAGCAGCACCAGGGAAAACCATGTGGCTCTGGCCAAAGGTGGCTGTGCTGCTGGGCGCGGGCTGGGAGCCTGCGCCCCATCGCCTTCCAGGCTCCCACCAGTGCCACAAAGCAGCTGGAGGCCAGCAAGTCTGTCACCAGCTCCGTCCACCCTCCCTTGGCAAAGTCTTTCTTACCACCTTCTTCCTCCGCACGCTAGGGCATCCTTCTGCCCCACAGAGATTCCCTGAGTACTCATCACGTGCTGGGCCTGGCGCTGGGAACTTGGGCACAAATCGCACACATGTGCCTTTCTCTTATAAAGCTTACCATTGTGGAGACTGGCATTAATGTAATTTAATAAAAGTTAAATGACGGCTGTACTGTGTGCTTGGCGAGTGAAGTCTGGCAAAGGCTGCCGAGGGGGCAGGGCCAACAGGGCATGCTGGGCACTGGCCATGAGGAACACAGGCAGGGCTCAGGCAGGAAAAAACAGCTGTCCACGTGTGAACTTGGAAGAGGCCCCTGCCTCCCTCCCTGACAACTTGCACCGGCCCTGATTAACCTCTTCCCACTCCTACCTGGGGAATGGGGTTAGGCTGTGAGGTGAGGGCTTTTCCTGAGGGGCAGCTCCATCTGCTGAGCACCTCACTCCTGGCCACCTGGGTTCTGACCCTCTCTTTTGGGCTCCATCCCTACAACAGAAACAGGTGAAGCCCTTCTTTCTGTAGAAAGAAAATGCCCCTCCCCGCCCCCAGCGGCCACCCTGGGGGCCACAGCTCTGCACTCACCTGCAGCAGGACGAAGACGCTTCTTAGCTTGTTAAATGTGAATGTGGTGCTGCTGGCCACTTCCTTCTTAAAATGCTCTTTTTGCTTCTTGAGCTTCCAGAACGCCTCCCTCCTCTATTCCTGGTCTGTGAACAGGGCAGGCCATTTCAGCCTAGGGTCTTTGCCCAGACCGCGGCCCCCTCTCCCAGCTCCAGCTGCGCCCATTCACAGTGCTTCCCGCGTCTTGTTCATCATTTGCTTACTAGCTGCCTCTCCAGAAGCCAAGGCCCCCACGCAGAGACCTGCTCGTCCTGATTCCCTAGTTCTGTGGGCACCCTGAGTGCATGCCTCCTGCGTGCATATGTGCGTGGACTGTTTGCGGAGGAGTCGACGGCCTACGGTCGCTGGGTCTTTGAGTGTTCACTGTGTGTGTTCATGTGCGAGAGACAGTGCCCGTGTGTTTCAAGGTCGGGCCCACCTGGCGCGTGTACCTGTTCAGGTATGGGTTTGAGAGGGGACCAGCTTTGGACGCAATAGCGCGCCATGCCAACGTCCCCGATGGACCCCCCGGTGTGTGGGGCGATGTCTGTGTGCAGGAATCGCGGGAGTGTAAGTGTCGGATGAAGAAACCTAGCAGGGTAGAAGAGAGGACCGCATCCTGCGCGAAGGACGCCGGAGCGCACTACGCGCGCCTGCGCAATGGCCGGCCGAACTACTGGCTCGAGCCCCAATCTAGCGTGGCGGTCACGGTGGGGCCGTGGGCGGGGCCGAGCGCAAGGCGGAGTTTGCGCAGTTCCGTTCGCTGAGTTCTGTGGGCGGGGCGAAGAGAGAGAGCGGAGGGACATGCCTCCGACCAATGAGCGCAGAGCTCGCGAGGGGCGGATCCGGGCTGCCGCGCGCCGAGCTGCGGTTGGCGGACGGCGGCGGGGGCGGGCTCAACGCGGGCCCGCCCACTCCGGAGCGTGGCTGGCGGGAGGGCTGTGTCACCGCCGCGGCGGCAGCGGCTCCTCAGGTAAACGGCGGGCGGGCACCGGCTACCGGCGGCGCTAGCTCGAGAGGCACCCCTCGGGGAAGCCTGGGCCTGGGAGCCGGGAGGCGCCCCCTTGGCCAGGTCGCGCGGGAGGCCGAGTCAGGGGTACCTCCCCAAGGTCACCGGGCGAACGCGGGGAGGGTCCCGGGCGTGACGGGGCCGAGCCCGGCCCCTCTCCGGGCTCAGGTGTGCCGCCCAGGTCCCCGCGGGGCCTGATTTGCCGAGTCACAACCCGGAAGAGAGGCTGCGGAGCCAAGCCGCTCGCCTGTTCCCTCACGCGGGCGCGGGGGTGCCCTTGCCCCGTGCTCGTCCCCTCACAGGGTGGGACTCGGGGTGCCAGTGCCCGTCCCCTCTCCGGAGGGCGTGTGTTCCCCTGTTCTCTCTGCCTGTCACCTCCCTGGGGGCGTGTGGTCCACGGTCCTGCTCCCCTCAGCGGGAAACCGGGGAGCGGGGCCCATATGGGAAACCACGCCTAAACCCCGAGTCCCAAAACAGGGCCATTGTATTCTTTCCTTTTTCTCTTTGACATTAGAGAGGATCCAGAGCAGGGAGGTGATCGTCCGGTCTCGAGGGCTGTTGGTCACACAGTGTACATTGCAGAGGTGGCCGCTCGCAGACAGCTGGGGATAGGGTCCCGCCCCTCTGGGCTCCTAGGCCTGGATTTTGGGTTCGGACTTGCCCGCGCGCCAGCACAGTTAGGTCACGAGGAGAGGGCTTTGTGGGCGCAGGCAGTTCTAACTCCACACTTACAGAGGTTCCCCTTTGCCGGCCCAGCGGGGGGCGGGGGGGGGTTGACCCGGAAGCTCAAGCGCAGGTAGGCAAGCACCCTGGGGTATGAGAGGGAGTGGAGGACCCTGGTGGGGGGCCTTGCCTGGGGTGTAGGCTGAAGCCACCATCTGGTGGTGGGGACAAGTGGAGTTGGGTTTATGCTGGCTTTGAGGGAACAGTCTAGGGGCAAGGACCATCTTGGAAGGGGCTGGTGTGGGGATGGTAGAGGTGGAGAGGAAGGAGGTGGATGAGTGGACCACAGGGTGAGGGAGAGGATGGAGGGACAGGACGACAGTGCTGATTTCTGACCCAGACAGCTGAGTGCATGGTGACAGAGGAAGAGGCTGGAGCGGGGTGGGGTGGGAGAGGTCAGGTGTGAAGATGGTCAGCTGAGTGTCAGGGCTGTAGAGTTTGAGTGGCAGTGAGTGGTCCAGATGAAGAGGCCCAGCCGGCACTGGGCCCCAGGATGCCATGTGGGAAGCATGCTTGAGGGATACTTGAGGTGGGATGGTGATGAGGCCGCTCCCACAGTTCTGGCAGCCAGGGGCCTGGGGTGCCGCTGTCAGCAGGATCTTAATCCCAGGCCTTCATCCCGGGCTGTCCTGGTTGCAGTGAGCAGGTGTCTCTGGTCTCTTGTTGGTGCCAGAGTGGAATGACCGGAAGCCCAGGTGTCTTGGTCATCTTGACAACAATGTCCAGGCTGCCACGGCTTGTTCAGTCCTCCCCTCACTATCTCTCATGCCCTGGGACACCGGTGGGCCAGAGGTGGAGCCCATGGGGTCGCATGCTTGCTCGCGTCCATGGTGACCCATGTTCCTAGGAGTGGGTGTCTGCTTGGTTTTCAGACCCGGGGTGCACTGAGGCCCAGGCGAGCGGTCGGGATGCTGCTCATCTGTCATCAGTGCCCCGCATCTCTGAGGCCTTTCATGAGTTCAGTCATTTGGTCTCCTCGAGGTAGGGGCTCCAGAAGGCTCCGTGGCTCTAGACACCCCTGGCTGGTGCTCAGGGGATTCCGGCTGCTGGGCATCATGAGAAATGTGCTTTCTTCACAGCCGGGGGGCCACCCAACTTTGACATAGCTCGGCATGGTTTATGCTGAGCCGTAGTGTTCTCAAGGGCCCGTGAGTGGCGAGCTGGCAACAGCATTTCCCTGGTCATCACCTGGGTTCCTGTCGGGGACTCTGGAAGTCTGTGCCTTTTCTGGCTCTGGTGCTACGAGGGCAAGTCCAGCAGACTGTGGGTGGGGGCACCCCCGACTCCTTGCGCTGTCCTGGCATCCCAGTCTCCCCGCACACAGGGCCTCCAGGCACTCATGGCACCCTCTGGGCTGTGGTGCGCGTGGCCTCGGGCTCATCGTGGTTGGCCCGGCGCCTCGGTTAGCCTGCACCGTGTCCTGTGGCAGCGGTAAGAGGGGGACGGCTCCTGGTGGACATTACTAAATGCCGCTGGGTGCATGCTGACTTATCCAGGGGAGCGAGGAGGGAGCCGGCCCTCTACTCGCCTACCATGCGTCCGATGCTGGGAGGGAAGGCCCACTCATCCCGCCACATGACTTGGCTTTGGAGCAGAGCCCGTGGGAGACAGCCCTGGTTGAGTCCTACCCTTCGCTAACTAGCAGCTCACCAGCAGTGTATCCCTCAGACCCCCTCGGCTGTGCGGATGAGAGGAGGTAGAAGTTGATGCCATTCCTTTCTAACACGGACAGCGTTGTAAGTTTCACACAAGTTTTTATATGTCTTTTCATTTCCATTCACTTCAAAATGCTCCTAATTTCACTTTTCATTTCTTTTCTGGCTCTGGCATCATTTCGAAGCATATTAGTAGTTTCTAAGTACTTGGGGATCTCTCCAATAGTTTTCTCTTATTGATTTCCAATTTAATTCCATTGTGGTCAGAGGATGTTCTTTGTATGACTTGAATTCTCTTAAATTTATTGAGACTTTATTGCTCAGAATATGTCAGTCTTGGTAAATGTTCCATGTGCTTTTGGAAAGGATATATTCTGTTAATGAACGAACTCTTCTAGAAATACCACCTTGATAGAGTCGGTTGACAGTATTGCCCAGGGCTTCTGTACCCTTACTGATTTTCTGTATGTCTATCCTACCACTCGGAGAGAGATAGGTATTGGAATCTCTGCCATAAATTGGATTTGTGTATTTCTCCTTGCATTTTTATTAGCTTTGGCTTTGTGTATTTTGAAGCTCTGTTATTAGGTGCATAAATGTTTAGGATTGTTATGTCTCTGAAATCTACTTTGTCTAATATTATTATAGTCATTCCAGCTTTCTTATGACTATTATCAGCCTCGTTTTTCTTTTGCTTTTTTTCCTAGGTTCATAAGTCATTGTAGAAATTGAGTATCGCACAATGATTTGACATTAACTTCACCAGGCGTGGGAAAGTAACAGATGAGGTGCAGCTTAGTTAGACTCCTTCTACGTTGCTTTCACAGCTGGAGTTTTTTTAGACCTTAACTTGAAGTATAAGACCAGGAAAGCTATGCCTCCGGATGTGGCCAGTACACAGGTCATTCTACCTGGGAGCATATAAGGGTTGAAATATATTTCGACACCAGTGAAATAGAACTGGGCATCAGTTTCTGGACCTGCCATGATTTCAATCTTGCAAAGGTCAAGGCTGTGTCCTTCAACGTCCGGAGCTTCCCCTTCGCCTGGCCAAACACGTTTTTCTCTTTCCATCCTTTCTCTTTACTTCTTTATGTTAACATATTCAGTCTTTCCTGTGGTTTCTTGAATATATTAAATACAGTTATAATAACTGTCTAAATGTTCTTGTCTACTAATTCTTTCCTCTCCGTCATTTCCGTGTCATTTTGCGTTGATCGATTCATCCTCTTTAGGGGTTGTATTTTCTTGCCTCTTTTCATGCCCAGTGACTTTTGATTGGATGTGAGATGTTGCCATTTTATCTTGTCGGTGCTTGACATTTCTGTGTTCCTGCTGCTGTTCTTGAACTCGGTGCTGGGATGTGGCTGAGCTACTTGGGACCAGTTTTATCCTTTCAGGTCTTGCTTTTAGCTTTGTTAGGTGAGACCAGAGTAGCATCTAGTCTGGGGCTGATTTCCTTCTCTCTGAGGCAAACCCCTGAGAGCTTTGGAGTTTTCCCCTCGGGCTGCTAGGAGCTCTGGGCACCGTTTCTGCTGGCCCTTTCGGGTGGCCCTTGCCCTGGCCTTGGGTAGCTTCTTCTCAAACATGGCATTTGTATTAGTTTCCCTTTGCTGCCGTAACAAATCACTACAAACATAGTGGCTTAAACAGCACACATTTATTATCTTAAAGTCACTGAGGTGAGGAGCCTGCCATGGGTGTCACCAGGCTAAAACCTACGGTCAGGAGGGCCGTGCCCCCTCCTGCTCTTAAAAGAGCAGGTTGTTGGCAGAATTTCGTTCTTTGTGTGTGTAGGACTGAAGTCCCTGTTTTCTTGCCAGCGATAAGCTGAGGGACGTTGGCAGCTTCCACAGGCACCCACATGCCTTGGCTCACAGCCTCCCCCCTCCACCGTCAGGCCAGCGTGGTGGGTTGTCTTTCCCGCGGTTTGAATTTCTCCTCCTTCCTTTCATCTCTGAGCCACTGGGAAAGGGTTTCTGTTTTTAGGGCCTCGGATGATTAGGCTGGTCTCACCCACATAATCCACGGGATCCCCTCCGCTCAGGGTCCGTGCCCTCAATCCCACCTGCTAGGGCCTTTGCCGTGCACGGTAACGTCACGGGTTCTGGGGATGAGGGTCTGGGTGTCTGTGGGAATGTTCTCTGCTGCCCAGTAGTCAGCCGAGTGACAGGGATGCTCTGCAGGCCTCTAGCACCCTCTCTGGTCCCATGGGCTTCCCAGGAACAGTCCAAGCCTGGGCATCACTGGGTGCTTCTGAGCACCACACCCCCAGGCAGAGAGCTGCAGCCATATCGGGGCTCCCTATCCCAGGTCTCCTGATGTCCATCGCCCTGAGAACTGCAGATTCCTGTGTTTTGTCCAGTTTTCGGTTTCGGTCGGGAGGGCTGGGAGCCAGCGTCTTTTGAGTATTCATGTTCGTTTGCCCCTCTTGGGCGGGCGAGCCTGCTGTGCACATTAAATGAGGGGCCTTGCAGACTGGCCGCCGGTTCGAGCTGGTTCCGCCCTTGTTCTTCCAGGCACTGGGGGAGGCACAGTGTCTTTTCGCAGGGAGGCCTCTGCCCAGGGGCAGGCTGCCCGCCTCCCAGACTCAGACCAGGTCGGCACCTTGGGGTTCGGGTCCCACATGGGGGTGTGCTCCACCTGTGAGAAGTGTGTTCCGTGGGCACCTTCTGGATCCTCACCCCCAACCTGACAGCCTCAGTATTTGCAGCCCTCCACCCTTTGGCGGTCTGGGGTTTTTGGCCTTCTTGCTCTGCTGCAATTGGAATATGTGTTTTTATTTCTTGTTTCCTGTTACTCTAGATGCTCTCCAGGAGGACGGTGGAAGCAGCTGCTGATGCCGCCCGCACACCGAGGCTTCCCCCTCTGCTTCCTGTCTGCCTGGGGTTCCCAGGGGTCTCTGGTCTGCCAGTTTTATCTTCTCGTTTCCTAGTGCTCTGGTGGGCTTGTCCTTCCTAAAACACGCATCTCTCTGCCGCTCCACTGAGGTCTTGGTGGCACCGTCCACCCTCTTGAACTGGAACTTTCCTTTACTTATAGCCCCACCTCCCAGGCTCAGGCCATTGATCCCTTTGCCCCCGCCACGTGTGCATGGCCAGATGGTCAGGACCACACTGTGGCCTCTCTCCTCCGCCACCTCTCTCCTGTCACGGAGGGAACTGAGCGGTGGTGGAGCATGAGTATTGGGAAGTGGGCGGCTGCCACCCCAAGGGCCTGGGGCCAGGAGAGCTGGACCCTGTGGAGGGGACAGCGCCCAGGACCATTCCTCTGAGTCGCGTGCTTTTGGCAAACAGCAGCTGCCCTGAGGAGGCTGGTGAACTCAGGGTGAGAAGCCTGGCTGAGAAGCCACCCGTGTCCACACTGCGCCGGTGAGGGGGAGCCCGGCCCACCACCATGACCAGGTCCTACGTGCAGAGTGAGTGCATGCGGTGGGTGCTCCCGCCGGTGCAGTGGGAGTGTCCTCAGACCTACCTGAACACGGGCTTTGTCGCTGCAGAGTTGTCCACCATCCTGCTGGACGCCATCACCGACAAGGACCCTCTGGTGCAGGAGCAGGTGTGCAGTGCGCTGTGTGCCCTCGGAGAGTCGCAGCCGGAGGAGGCGCTCCGCGCTTGTGAGGAGTACCTGCGGCTGCACGAGAAGGTGTGGACAGGACAGTCCTGCCCTTCTGGGTCGGGGCAGGGCCTGTGGGCCTAGGGGTGGGGCCTGGGGACCTAGGGGTGGAGCCTGGGGACCTAAGTCTCAGGGCCTGGGGGTTGAGGGTGGGGGTGTGTCGGAGGTGTGTTGGGGGCGTGGCGCCTCTGGCATAAGAAGTGGCTGAGGGGCCCCAGGAAGCCTATGGAGGGTCCATCCCCTGACAAAGGGAAGGTTCCCCACTGGGCTGGAGGGAGATTTCATCAGGCTCCTCAGGACGGCTGCAATGTAAAACTTATGAACTGTTTGTTTCTGGAATTTTCCATTTACTATTTTCCCACCATGGTCGAGTGCAGGTAACAAATTGTGGGAAGCAAAACCACGGATAAGGGGACCTCAGTCCTGAATCCAGGCCCACAGGGGTATTGAGTGCTGACCTTTCCTGGGCAGCAGGGGCTCAGCTAGCTCTCTCCTCCCAGGACCTCGCTGGCCGCTGGCTCTGTGACCTTGCTAGCTCTCTGCTGTCTGAATAACTGGGCACCATTTCTAGTTTTCCTCAATACCTGGTTTAGACCCATTCCTGGGGTGGGCAGAGACTTTTGCAGTCTCAACAGGCTGTTTCTTGTTTGTTCGATTTGGCATTTTGGGACACAAGAAGGGATCTCTGTACAGTGTGAGTTTTTGCTCTCTCATCCGTCAATTGCCATCTCCTGAGGGAAATTGCCTAGTCCTGCTGAGTGGCCTCTGAGCTGATTGTCCTGTGGCTTCATGACATGTTGTGGTGAGGGTTCCGCTCTCCGACCCCCTGGCTGTCCTAGCTGTTTTTGGCCTCTCGTTTGCGTGGGAATGCTAGGCCTGCTTGTTGGGACTTTGACGAGAGACAGACACACTGTCCATAGGTCAAGTGGGGAGGAGAGTGCCTCACGCCCGGGCTCAGTGTGCGTGTCCACCGCGGCTCTCGGCTTCCTGGGGCTTCAGCCCGCGTGTGTTCTGGGCGTCAGAGACTGTCTCTCCATCACCACAGCACGCCAAGATCGGCGTCTGTTAGAGAAGAGCCAGGCAGCCCTTGCTATTTGAGGAAATGGCCAAAGAACGGTTAAACGAGCCTTATTATTTTTAGCAATTCATAGCAAAATGTAAGTGTGCTGTGAGTTTTTGCTCTTTCATCTGTCAGCTGCCATCTCCTGGGGATGTCATCTTCCAGCTCATTTATGATTTTGCCTTCTTTCTAGTCTTTTTAATTAATTTACCCACTTTAAAAACATGATTTTCCTTCATGGTTAGCGTGTTTAGAGTAAACGTGTATTGGTCTGGAAGTTCTGTCCCGCGGAGCGTCGTCCCCGCCAGCACCGCTCTCCCCCGGCCCCTCCCCTTTCCACTCGCCACTTGCCCTGCCCCTTTGGACTCTACTTGTGAGCACCTTTGCGATTGTTCAATCTCTCCAAAAGGATGTAGGATGACAGGAGAAAATTACGGACCCCTCTCCACTCGTCACACGTCAGCGCCACATCAGAGACACGTGGTGCTTTATAGATTTAGAAACGAGACACTTGAAGTCTTGTGTCTGTTAGCAAGTCCTGGTCTCAGAGAACTCTGTCGTGACAGGACTGCTTAGCTGAGGGACAGATGGCCACATCAGGGAGGCAGCTTCCCTTGACCAGGAGACTGGCCACACAGGGTGCAGGAGCCCACCAGCTCACCATCTGCTCGTCATGGCTGCACAGATTGCTCCGGCCCTTCTGAAGACCAGCACCCCACCCACACGCCCTTCCCGAGGCCCTTGTTTACGTGAAGCCTGCAGCCGTCCTGAGGGCCACAAAGAAAGCTCAGCTGTGCCCTTTCCTCATGTCAGGGCAGAGACAGGAGAGCTTGTCTCGAGTCCTGTAGAGAACACAAGAGGCACTGGCAGGGTGCCTGGGTGCTCAGCTCCCCTTCTGGGCCCTCCCTGCATACTTTTGCTCCTCAGCTGGCGCATCCGTACCGGACGATGATCCTGAGGGCCATGGAGACGGTCGTGAGCAACCACATCAGTGAGCTGGACAAGGACATGGCCAGGGCCGTCATCCTCTTGGCCTCCAGCGAGATGACCAAGGCAAAGGTACGCGGGGTGCTGGCCAAGCCTCCCCCTGGCCTTTCTCCCCCAGCGCCTTGGAAGGTGGGTTTGTCTGGCCACCTTAGGGTTGGCCCCCCAGTCCTGTGCACTGACCGCCCTCCTGGGTGGGGAGGGTCACCCCATAATCTCAGAGGTGGACACTGAAGCAGAGAGAAGGTTCCTGACCTCTTAAGGTAAATGTAGGGCCTGGCGCTTATGTCCCCGTGTTTGGGCTCAGGTGGGACTGGCTAGCAGTGGCAGCACTGTCCTTGTCCCAGGGTGGGGCTAGGCTTGAGGTCTCTCTGGCAGGCGCTCACTGGGGAGCCTGAAAACAGGCCTCTCATCCTTGGTGGCAGGCATGTCACCTTTGCTTCCTGCCTCCTTTCCTTGGTCGGATGTCAGCTCATATTTTCTTTGGGGTGCAGGACTTGGTCTGGGACTGGCAGCAAGCTGCCAGCAACGTCCTGGTGGCGGTGGGGAAGCAGTTCATCAGCACGGTGATGGAGGAGATGCTGAGCAAGCTGCAGCCCGGGGCCCTGCCACACTACTTTGTGGTGCGGACACTGGCCAACCTCTCGGTTTCCAATGGTAGGTGGTGACTTGGCCTCGACACCTCCCACCATGTTCTCAAGTGAGTCCTGGGCCCCCTGGCACCTCAGCTTCTGTGAGTCAGCAGCTTTGCCCCCACCCCAGGCTGAGCAGAAGGAGCCCAGGGCCCTGCAGCCGTGCGTGTGGGGCACCGCTGCCTGTCGCTGGGCACAGGGTGTGGGAAGATGAGTGGTGGGGGTGGCGGCAGGGCCTCTGTGACCTGCCCCTTGCAGCATTCGGCATGGTGCCCTTCCTGACGTCCATCCTGAACACCATGCTACCCATGCTGGGGACAGCCAAGCACGACACGACGAGGGAGGTGCTCTGCTATGGTGAGCAGGGCCCGCCCAGCCACGCTGGCCTTCTGTCTCCTCTCCGGTGCCCGTCTGTGGACGTCACGGGTCCTTTAGGCTGCAGGAAGAAGGCCTTAGGGGCAAGTTAGAGGAAGGGTGGCTGCAGCTGTGTCACTGCAGCCTCTGCCTCTGTCGCACATGGCTGTCTTTTCCCGCTGTCTGTCTCTTCTTGTGAGGCCACAGTCCTGCTGGATCAGGGCCCACCCTAGGCCCACCCACTATGACAGCATCCTAACTAATTACACCTATTACCAAAAGCTCCATTCCGAGGTCCTGGGAAAGACGTAGGCTTGGGGACACTGCTCACCCAGCGGAGTCCCGGGGTCCTGGCTGGGCCCATGTGTGGGGGGTGTTGTATGTGTGGGTGTAGAAGGGGCAGCAGACGCAGGTGTTGGAGCCTGGCCACTCACTGCCCACCGCTCACGCCTCGTGGCCGGTTACGCAGCCCTGCAGCACTTCAGCGAGGGCACGCTCGAGTACCTGGCCAACCTGGACCAGGCCCCAGACCCCACAGTCAGGAAGGACGCCTTTGCCTCCCCCATGTCCAGTGCCTACGATATCCTCTTTCAGCAGTGGCTGCAGAGCCGCGAAGCCAAGGTACGGCCTCACCTTGCTGGCCGCCGTCTCCCACCCCGAGCTGGCCCCCCGCAGGTCCCCGCTCATAGCCCGGTCCTCTGCTACTGCTCTGTCTCTTCTTGTGGGCCTTGTACTCGGGAGGCAGGGGTCTCGTCGGAGTGGAGGTGCCCTGTGCAAGGTCTCACCTGCAGGTCTCCACGGAGTGCACACAGCTTGTTGCCGAGCCCCAGTTGTTGTGGTCACCCCCTCCCACCCCCACTGCTCTCTGCCTGAGGCACCAGGGCTGCCTGCGGGAGGGCTGAGGCGAGATGACCCACATGCCAGGCTCTGTTAGGACCCCCAGTCAGGCGACATCCGGCCCTGGACTCCTGGCGAACGGGCTCTTTGCCGCTCTGTCCCGTGAGGGCTGTGAGCACTGTCGCTTTCCCCTCAGCTCCGGCTAGCTGTGGTGCAGGCCCTGGGGCCCATGAGCAACCTGATGCCCAGTGAGAAGCTGGAGGAGCAGCTGCCCAAGCTGCTGCCTGGGGTCCTCACGCTCTACAAGAGGCACGCTGAGACCTGCCACGTGTCCAAGGTGTGGCCCCTGCAACTGCCTGCGGGGGGAGCAGGGATCGCCCTGAGCACCCTTCAGACCCCGCGTGGGTAGGCTGGTCAGATGTCTCCCCGCTGCCCTGACTGGATAGTAGCCCAGGGCCCCTTCCTGCCCCATCCCTCCTCCTGGGACTGGCTTCAGGGGCCACTGACGGCCCCTCTCCCTGCAGAGCCTGGGCCAGATCCTCGAAGCCGCCGTGAGTGTGGGCAGCCGCACGCTGGACGTCCAGCTCGACTCACTCCTGGCCGCTCTGCATGCCCAGGTAGGCTGGGGGTGGGAGTGGGGTGCTGGGGGGATGCTGTGGGGGAGCATGCTGGTGGTGAGAACGGGTGTGAGCGTACTATGGTGGGGGTGAGGTCAGGGAACTCACTGGGGGTGCCACGCGGTGGTGCAGGGCTGGGGCCCTCCGTGTGGCTAGAGTCAGGGTGGGTGGTCCAGCGGGTGTCCCCTGAGTCACGTGGGTGCGGCTGTCGGAGATATAGCTGTATCGTTGTCTGCTCAACACTGGCACGTGCAATGTGGCAGTGGAGACCCCAGCATGGAGGTGGCAGGAAGGGGTGGCCAGCAGGGCAGGGGTGGCCTGAGATAGTCTGGAAGTGTCTGGGTCCCCCGAGGACTGAGCAGGGAGAAGGCTGGGCAGGCGAGATTGCGGGCTGGCAGAGGGGCCGCAGGGCAGTGAGGCCCACGAGGGGAGGGTCCAGAGGTGACTTGGAAAGGGCTCGGAGGCCTCACTGCAAACCCGCCACCAGGTCAGATGACAGATGTGGCGGTGACGGGAACTCGGTGTCACACGGAAACAGATTAGGGACAATATCCTCTGATCTCAGTCGGTTTGGAAAAGCTTTTGGCGAAGTTCGACACCCATTTATCCTTAAAACCCTGACAACCGGGATTAGAGAGGAATTTCTTTAGCTTGGTGAAGTTCACGGACCCAGTCAGTCCCTCAGCGTGTGTCAGTGTGAGTGGGAAACAGACACACTCCATTCAGGGTCGAGGGCAGGAAGAAGCCCACTCCCTGAACGGGACCCGAGGCCAATTCTGTAAGGAGAGGCCGAAACGGGAGGCTGAGGCTGGGGGGAGAGGACAGGCTGTCCCTTATCACCACCCCTGCCATGGTTTGAAATGCATGGGTCCATTGACATGCTGTTTTTTTCCAGTAAATACTCTACATGTTTTTTCTTATGATTTTCTTAGTAACGCTTTCTTTTCTCTAGCTTTGTTGTAAGAATACAGCACATCATGCATATGACATACAAAACGTGTGTGTTGGGTGGTAAGGCTTCTGGTCCGGAGTAGGCTGCTGTAGGTGGTCACCTTCTGCGGGGGTGAAGTTATATGTGGATCTCTGAGGGTGCAGGGCTGGCACCCTGAGCCCCGCGCTGCTCAGGCGTTAGCTGCAATCAGTGACCCACTGTTGGCATGCGCTGCCGTGCGCTGGGGTGCGGTCCGGCGTGGCCTGTTCACGGCTGAGTCTCAGCACCTAGCTTAGCGCCTGGTGCTTGTGAGCACTCAGCGGTATTAGTTACCGGCGATCGATCCGCTTCCAGAAGTTCCCAGGGACAAACCGAGAGAGCGCACGTGGTCGAGCTAGTAAGGAGCTCAGCGAGGCTGCGGGCTGCAGATGAACCCACACGCCCCAGCGTTTCCCTCTGCCATACTGACCCGTTGGGAAGTGCAGACAAGTGTCGTTCACATTAGCGGTAGAAACCTGTTGCGAAGGGTCTGGGAATTAGCCTGGCCCGGCGCCCGGGGTCTCCCTGGGGAACGTGTTGACGACTGAAACCGCAACAGTGAGGAAGACGAGCGCCGTAGCACGGTGCCTGGGGACGACTGTACGAAGCGGCGCCCACGTGCAGAGCTGGACACAGGGTGGTCAGCTGCGCGCTGGGGTGCAAGTGGGGCATGGCTTCAAAGGGAAATATAAACGCGAAAGCTGAGGTGATCTTTTCTCTGTGCTGTGCGTTCATGTCCTTTGTTTTACTGTTGGCTTTTAGGTTTTTTCATATTGATCTGTAGCAGTTATTTATAGTCTTGTATCATATATGTGTAAATATGTGTGCCGACTTTGTCTTTATTTTTTGGCTCTATTTATGACATTTTTTTTTTTGCCACGCAAAATTATTTGATTTTCACACCAATTTTCCATCTTTTATGTTAAGCCTGGGTCTCATTATACTTAAGGAAGCCTTTAAAATTCTGCAGTTAGTTTTCAGATTCCCCCACTTTCCCTGCTTTTATGGTTTAATGCACTTGGAA